CACGGCAGTGAAGGGCAATCTTTATAAAGTGCTTGATGATCTTCACTCTTTTGGCCAGGTTGGTTTCCTGTACTATCTCTGTGGCGACCCAGAAGGTCTCCTGGTTTACAAGATCCTCAAAGTTGCGCAGGTTGGAGGGAGGCTCTTGTGGGTGGAGCTTGAAGAGGTCAGTGATGTAATCCGTCGGTTCAATGCCGGAGAAGAGCAGATAGTTGCGTGCTGACAGCTGATTGGCTATCTCCATGGAGCTCAAGGACAACAAAGGGACCACAGACTCCCGCTGCATCTCCTGGGCCTCCACATCTGAACACAGCGCCTCGGTCTCCATGTTGCTCTTCAGATAGTACCTGACAAAGAAGCAGAAAAACAGCCATCACATATAAAATTAAGTCACAAAATTGCCATTTTAACTTCTTAAATTCAGCTCAAGACCAAACCTGGCACTCAGCTGTATCCTGTCGGCCAGTTTAGAGAGCTGATCAGGTAGCCGTCTCTGTTTAATAACTCCCTCCTGTGTGACTGACACCTCACAGAGCGAATAGGCTTCAGGACTTGCCGTCAAGCCAAACTCTCGCATCACCTGATTGGCTGCCTCTCTTGCTGTGGTGTCCCTATTGATCAGGAAGTAACGACTTTGTTGGTCTGCCTTGAAAACACGCAGCACCTGGTCTTGCAATTCTGTGGATGAAAAGACAAACAAACCATAAAATAACTGGATATAAGAAGTATGTAAACCTCAATCACAACTAGGATCCAAACATTCCTGCATAGCAGAGATTACATGCAACTTCTAGAACTATATTAGGTAAATGAACGAGGTAGATGTCGTTGAGGTAGATTCAAACATTAAAATGAAAACAAAGAGATGGAAGGAACCCTAATAATAAAGACAAAGAGGTTAACCGGAGATCCAGATCAAGCAGAAGTCAAAGGAGGCGTCTTGGTACTAATGAAAATCAAATATGTACAAACATCTAAACCTGTACAGTTGTAGAGTGAAGTACAGGTGACACGGAGACAAAGCAACTTCTACAGAAGACAAAACACTGAGTTTTATTGGAAAGTAGAGCTTTCAAAAGTACAGGTTCTTCAAAACTAAACAAAAAATCCAGTCCTTAAACAGATTAAATTCGGCAGAAAATTTAAGGTTATCATTATTTATGTTTTACATGTAAAAAGAAAAAAAAAACAGATTTGTGTAAAAATATAACATCTAAATTCAGTAGATCAACTAATTTAAAAATAAATAAATATTTTCATTTGTATCTTTGTTTTACGGTTTACTTGAATAATTACTTTATAACTTGCCATGCTTAATCGAAAATGTTGAGAGGCAATGTTTACTTTCAGAAATGTTAAGCATGAACAGAAGCAAAATAAACCAAGTTGTACATAAAAAGACAAATCAGTAAGAGTAGTAAATCAAAGTTCGAAAAAGGGAAAGGTAATTTTTAACTACAGGACTTGGCCCAGTGGCATGTTTAGCAGATGGCACAAATTGTATTAATCTACAGATAGGCCACTGAAATAAACCAGAAACAATGTAATAAAGCACGGATATAGTCTCAGTCTTAAGTCATGTTTAATTTGATGCAGGGCATGAAT